CGAAATCGCCGAACATCAAACGTTTTAAAATAAAATGATCAAGTACTCCAACCTATTATTTAAGCCAACATCGTGACTAATAAATACAATCTCAAATAATATTCGATAAATAGAATATTTCGAGAAATTTTATAAGTCGAACGGGGCGTTACAATCTATTCTCCTAAAATATTTCCGTACTCGGAAATACAAAAGAACATGCATCTAAAGGAAAACGACACACTCGAAAAGCATACACTCACGTACAGGACACAATCCGACTCGCCCTATGCTCATATGTTTGCCTTATTGCATGGAAGGGTGATCAATCCTGCCCGAGCTCAGGCGCACATCCTCTTGCAAGGGACTCAGTCCGGCTTGGCCTATAACCATGAGTATAAACAATCAACTTCGCACCTAACAACACACAAGACCTCAACAAGTCGTTCGGTGTATTGCCAGCGTACTCCGACTATCTCACCAACAAGGTGAACACGTGACGCCAAGTTTCAGTCTCGTATCCGAGTCATACTGATAATTAGCTCACGATTTTATCACGGACCGTGTGTCTCCATCAGAGACAACGACACAGTATACAACACAACCACTGATGCCCACACACGACATCGACTCCACGAGTCGAACGCAACCCTTATGTGCAACATAAAGATTGACCAATAGCAATACGACATTCCCAATTTGCCCACTTGAGAAACTCTCAAATAAGACATAGGGACATTGTCTACTCTCCTTAATCAGAAATCATCGATTAAGGATTTACACACATTTAGTGGGACTTGGAGCTCTCGGTTCAAGGTTCAAACGAAAAGAGTTTCAAAAGGATAACGAGTATTCCAGCACGAAACGGTTTCAACAGTTCAGGAAAAACATCAATGGTTGGCCGCACACGCTGGTCTGGGGAGTTCGTGCGTACGGTGATGGCGGCTGCAGTTCGCATGCGAGTCAACGGTCGGCCGCGCGCAAGCTTCCCGTCTCTCAGCACCGTCGTGCGTGCTCGGCCACAACTTCGCGTGGCTACACCCAGCCAGAGCCGGCATTCGGTTCAAGGTCTTACAAGGAGGTTTCAATCTCAGATCACCAAAAAGAAATGGTTTTACCAATTAACGAGAATTTTGGGTCCAATATATATATTTTAGTCGTTTCACAATTTCAAAGATTGCAAAAGTCTAATATATCTCAAGGGGCATGTTCGAGCTCCAAGTCCACTTCTTTCTCTAATCCACCAAACAACCTACAATATGGGGTCGAGAAAAACTTCCCGAAAGAAACGAGGATCGGTTCTTCAGCCAGAAACAATCCCAATCTCAGCGGTCACTACCGAATAATGAACGCTTAGCTCATTCGACTCTTCCGACTAACAGTGTCGGCCGTCACGTCAGCTCTCGATAACCGTGCCGGCAGTCTTAAATGAGCTTCTAAAGATACAGTGAACGAACATCACAGTGAAGGTGGCTCAGCACCCCACAATGTGTTTGTTCCGGACTCGACTATCCTCCTTGAAAGATTTATGCATAACATTTTAAGGTGGAAGGAAACACTCTCTGATACGCGTCAAATCACTCCATCTGAAGTTCCACGCAAGAAAGGAGAAGTTCAAGCGAAATTCTCAAAATGCGAAAATTGGATAATGAAAGAAGCTTCAAGCACAATTCAAAATTGCTTGCCATACAAAAAGCAAGGGTTTGCAGAAGTCTACAAGAAGACCAGAATTCAAAATTGAAACAAGACAGCCCTGTATCCATAAGTCCACGATTCACTGCCTCCGTCATCGGTTCAAGCTGTTCTCGGATATCCACGATGAATTCAAGAAAACAACTATCGCATAGAACGAGCATACGAATCGATATATACCCAACCAATGGATTTTTAAATCCCACCAATGAAAAAGAATAAACGAATTTAAACGAGAAAAGACTCAGCCATTATACCAAAATTCTCAACCAATACTTCTGAAGAAAGAACTTAACTCTATACCACTAGAGTTCAAGCTCATACAACTAAGTTCACCACTCGTCTAGAGTTCAGGAATATCTAATAGCAGAAGGATAAATTCCTAAGCCCCGATTTCATATCAATAATCAATATTCAAACAATGCACAATAATCTAAAAAATCATTCACATACTCATACCTGAGCTGGCGTGGCACGACGAGAGCGAGTGGTCATAATTAAAGGTCTAAGCACATAATCTCATAATTCACATTAACCAGTCTACAGAAACGCAGACTGGCTCTGATACCAAACTGTAACGCTCCACTTTTATTTGCCAAAATTCAGGATAAATTTTTCAAAATTTATTTTCAAAAACAATATTTGAGGCGCTACTTATTCTCAAATCAATATTCAATACTTATCAAATTCTCAATATTCAATCATTTATCACTCCTCATTAATCAATATTAAAATCCAATCATCCATAATACTTTCCAAGCAATCCAATCATCAATAGTATCTTAGGGAGTACGCTCCCTATCATTAATCCAAACATCCAAAAGCAATAATAACAGTAATTAGTTTATCAGGCGGAAGCATTAGTCAATTTAAAAGACCACCACTCGCATCCCTTTGTCGTGCCCGCGTAAACTAACCTGCATCCATGAAGAGCAGGTGGGGATGAGCACAAAAGGAAACAATAGTGCTCACCACTATGCAATAAATGTTATTCACAATAAGGGAATAGTAATCAATAAATCAATAAGGTATGGTCTCAGCATGTATACGAAGCATTAATCTATCCCAATCTCCCATCAATAATCACTAATCAATAATCAATAATCACTAATCAATAATCAATAATCACTAATCAATAATCAATAATCACTCTCATGTGCACACCTATATCAATAGACTACTGCCAGCTATATATCGAATGGCCCTTGCCTCACATCGAGTGCTCGGCCAGTAGGAGTAAATCCACCCCGATGGCCCTTTGCCTTACACGAGGATCACCAGCCAAGGTTCATGCCCTGACTGTCAACAATAATAAAGGAGATTACCCATTGGGTACGTTCTACAGCTGGGGATAACCGTTCGACGGCCGATACAGCTCACATCGAAGGCTACATGTTCAACATGCATACTTTGATCATACCATAAGTAAACTTGTATAACAGTAATAACATTTAAAGCATAGACAATTTTTACAATTACAACCCACCTGGTGCCGATTGATAAAGCAAATACCAGAAAGTTGTAGGTGGGGTTGAGACACTGCTTGTCAGACACCTACATAAGTCAAGACAGTCCCATAAGCAACTATCTCGACTCTTACAGAGATAACAAGAATTATACTTAGCCGAATCACATCGACTAAGAAACTCGTGGAAGTTGCGGAGTTGGAACATTAGGACGACTTCTAGACTCGACCAACCAATTAATAAATTATATAAAGGCATGCAATAAAGGTTTGACACAAAAAGAGGTCATCAGGTCAAGGACTTGCCATTAAAGCCAAAACCAGTCAAAAGAAATAGTTTTAAATTTATAAGAATATGGCTATAAGAAGATAGGCTTGGAAAACTGAATCAAAATTTTTACAGCACATAAACAACTGAACATTAAACATTTTCACCAAAGGAAAGCCCCTAAACATGCTCCTAACCAATTTACATAAATTTAGCAAAATCTGGCCAGAATACAAATGAATTCATTTAAAATAGCTACAGTCTGAATTTTATTTTGAACTTTTTATAGCAGCAAGATATCATTAAGAACAACAACATATCCGAAAATTAGCATAATCGGACAAGAACTCAATTTTATATGAATTTATTACGAAACAGCCCAGAAACGGTTTTCAATTTTTGACGAGTCTACAGGCCATATAAAAATCTCATATTTTAGCTACAAGTAATATAACAGCAATAGGACAACATATCCTAAAATCAGAATTGTTGGAGCAATACACGAATTATAGTGATTTTAACAAAAACGGGCTGCAGCACGATTTTCAAAAATTCATATTTTACAATACGCACATCGAAACGACGCAAGGCCAAAGCCGTTGCGTCAAGGACATTCCTAAGTCAAATAATCCACAGCACTCCTACGGAAAATATAAACCTCAGTTCAACAATTTTCCAAAGTGACGGCAATCAATTTGGTATCCAATTTCAACATATATATCAATAATTATACAAGATATTCAACTACGACATATAATTAGTCGAACTCTCATGTTCAGCAATAACGACACGGATACGAGAACTTTAATACATGTAATGCGAGATAAATAAGTCAAGGGTTTAGCCCGGGTACCGTTCTCGGGACGGGGTTACAAAACGGGACCAAATCGAGGCCGAACGGATAGCACGTGCACGTTGGGGGGGGTCGATTGCTTGCAGTTTTGACTTTGGGACAGCAGTACGGAGCAGCCGTTACACGTGGAACTTGTGAACAGGGGTACAAACAACAATAACACGGTGGGGCTCGGCTGCATGTCGTCGGTTCTCGTCGGGATCTGCGATACTCGAATAGCAAACAAGCATGGGCTTGCTGATGGAATCACGGGACCGTTGGGACCACCAGGGTTAAGCTCAGAGGCAGAGCAGCGGATCATCGAGATGGATGACACGTGAACAGTACTCTGAGGAGGACGATCGCGACGTCAGAACAACAGCGGGACCGACGAAGGGTTACGCGGATAGCAGCCGGAGTTCGAACGAGTTTATAAACGGGTGTCGAGTTTCGCTCATGGCCCACGATCACGGACAACAGGTGGTGGTGGTCCCAGTGGTGCGCGGTGGTCGGGGTTCACGGGTTCGCCGACGTTGGTCAGAGGATGCCACGCGACACGAGAATATGGGTCGAGCGAAGAGCGATTTGGGGCCTGATGATGACGGGACTGCACGAAACTGGTTCCTTACAGCGAGGACACGAGAGGACATCGGCGATGGGTGATGTCTGACCTCGGTTTCACGGTGGCGATGGGCTGACAGAGGCGGCGCTCGGATTTGCAGGCGGAGGAGCAGCGTTTGGGTGCTTCTCGCTATGGGGCATCGATGATGATGGCGTTGCAGTCGCGAGGTGATGATGGTGATGATAATGGTGACGATATAGAAGATAGAGAGATGGTGATCGATGATGATGGTGGAGGGATGATGGTGATATCGAGAGGAATTAAAACCAGAGAGAGGGAGAAGTCAGATTTTTGGAAAAAGCTGCGTGAGGGTCTCAAGAGAAAGAGCTTATACGCATAATAACTTAGGGTTTAGAATCTTTCTCTCCAAAATAGATAAAACGGGTCGCGGGTCATGGGTTCGGGCCAAAGGCACGGGGCGCGGGCCTGTTTGTCCTCGGTTCTCATACTCTTGGCTCGACTTAGCAATCATTAATAGCTCGACATCAATAAAATAAAATCGGTTAATCCGTACGCGATTAATCAATTAATCGGATAATATATTTATATACATATAATATTTATTATAATAATCATTTAGACAAGTAATATATATTTAATATTTATAAGCAATCAAATATTTAGATAATTTAGCAATTAAATATAAATTAATAATAATAATACCAATACAATAACATCTGAAAAGCAAATTCAATAAATCGAATGGTTAAATCCAAACTACGCGATTAAACCGAAATCGCCGAACATCAAACGTTTTAAAATAAAACGATCAAGTACTCCAACCTATTATTTAAGCTGACATCGTGACTAATAAATACAATCTCAAATAATATTCGACAAATAGAATATTTCGAGAAATTCTATAAGTCGAACGGGGCGTTACACTATCTGCTTGTCATTAGTTGCTTGACGTAGAAAGTGATATTTGATAGCAATGTGTTTGGTCCTGCTGTGATGTACTGGATTTTTCGCCATTGCTATTGCTGACTTGTAATGACATCTTACTGTAATTGCATAAACAGGAAACAAGTAGAGAGAAAGATGAACACTGTAGATCTCAAAAATGCCATATTCATTCAATGCGGATGTTACAATGTTTTTGGTTATTTATAGCTCAATTCTCACGTGATGAACATCCTGAATTATTCCTAGAAACCCTAACTTAGCTAACAGACAAGGTTCTACAGCTCATCATAGTACATGCAGTTGGTGCATGGCTCTTGCATGACCATATGGGAGCATTCTTCAATTCCTCTTTTGTTTTCTTGTCCATGTCATGAGCATTGAATATTTTGTTGACTGATTTATTTGCATGATTCACAATATGCCCCCTCAATCCTATCAATGTGTTGGTATGGCTCATATATTGACAAAAGAAAGGGGCAGATTGATGCCTGCAAGCGTAACGGAGCGAACGTAGTGAGGGAAGCAGAGCGACCGAGCGAAGTGAGCGGAGTGGGTGTTGTTTACTTTCTCGTTTTTAATTCGTATGCTATATTGTCATCGTTTCACAACAGGTGGTACCAGAGCACCAGGTTGATTGGGCGACGGAGATGACAGGAGGATCGAAATTCGAGGTTTCAAAATTTGATGGTCATGGCTATTTCAGATTATGGCAGACGAGAGTAAAAGATTTATTGGCGCAACAAGGAATTCAGAAAGGGATGCGCGCAGAAAATCCTAAGGGGATGGAAGACGATGATTGGCAAGATCTGCAGGAACGGGCGGCCGGGACGATTCGGCTGTGCCTTGCAGATGAAGTTATGTATCACGTTATGCATCTTAAATCGGCGGATGAGATCTGGAAGAAACTAGAATCGCAGTTTATGTCAAAAACCCTAACGACAAAACTGTATCTGAAGTAGAGGTTATACGGGCTGAAGATGCAGGAGGGGGCCGATTTAGGGCAACATGTGAACATCTTCAATCAGGTTGTCACGGATTTGGCTTCACTTGAAGTCAAGATTGAAGATGAAGACAAGGCGATGATTTTACTGTGTTCGTTACCTACTTCTTACGAACATATGGTGACTACCCTTACATATGGGAAAGAGACGATCGAGACTGAGAAGATTACTTCAGCGTTGTTGGCTCACAACCAGCGAAAACAGAAATATAGAGAGTCATCTTCTCAAAGTGACAGCTTATATGTGAAGGGTAACCAGGATCTTGGAAGAAGACAGGGGCGGGATAATTCAGGAAATCGGAATTTCAGATCCAAGTCGCGAGACAAATCGCAGGGGAGGAAAACTGTGACGTGTTATAAGTGCAAGAAAAAAGGGCACTTCAAAAGGGATTACCCAAACTAGAAGAAACAGACTGTTGATATGTCATCTAAGTTTGCGAATGTGGTACAAAATGAGGAATCCGATTGCAGTGATGGAGATATGTTATCTATTCCGACTGCGCAATATGATGATGCTTGGATTCTCGATTCTTTATGTTCATATCATATAACGCCTAACAGAGAGTGGTTTTCTACTTATAAACCAGGTAACTCGGGTTCTGTTTTTCTTTGTGATGATCGATGCTGCGGTATTCTCGGTATTGGGGATGTCAAAATCAAGATGTATGATGGAACTGTTAGGAAATTGTGTGATGTGAGACATATCCCTGAGTTGAAGAAGAACTTGATTTCTTTGGGTACTTTGCATAGAAATGGTTTCATTCCCAAGGCTGATGAGGATAGGGAAACCATTAAGATATTGAAGGGTGCCTTGACTGTGATAAAGGGGAGGATCACTGCAGTGGACATTTACAAACTGTTGGGAAGTACAGTTGTAGGTGGAGCCCATTCGGTGGATTCGTGTGAAGATAGCACGAAATTATGGCACATGCGTCTTGGACATCTTAGTGAACATGGCATGACTGGACTGCATAAGAGGGGGGCTTCTGCATGGTGTTAAAACTTGCAAACTCAATTTTTGCAAGTTTTGTGTTCTTGGAAAACAGACAAAAGTCAGTTTCAACACTAGGTAGAAGAAGACAAAAGGAATTCTGGATTATGTACATTCAGATGTATGGGGGCCTACTAGAGTGATATCGATGGGCGATTTTGTGTACTATGTGACCTTTATTGATGATTTTTCAAAGAAGGTTTGGGTGTATTTCATGAAGCAAAAATCTGAAGTTTTGCTAAATTCAAGCTATGGAAGGCTGAGGTAAAGAACCAGACTGGTAGGAAGATCAAGTACTTAAGGTCTGATAATGGTACAGAATACACCAATTCACAGTTCCAGAAGTTTTGTGAAGTGTATGGGATTTAAAGGCATTTTATAGTGCGTAAAACACCACAACAGAATGGTGTTTCTGAGAGGATGAATCGGACACTGGCTGAGAGGGCGAGATGTTTAAGACTGAATGCGGGACTGTCGAAGAGTTTCTGGGCTGAGGCTGTAAGTATGGCTTGTTATTTGATTAACAGATCACCACATGCATCTCTGGATGGCAAAGTTGCAGAAGAAGTATGGACATGTAATGATGTTAGTTTTGATCATCTGAAGATTTTTGGTTGTCCTGCTTATGTTCATGTTCCTGCTGATGAGAGGTCAAAACTTGATGCTAAATCAAAGAAGTGCATCTTTCTGGGCTATAAGAAAGGTGTGAAGGGATACAAGTTTTGGGATCCAGTTTAGAAGAAGACGGTGATTAGTAGAGATGCAGTGTTTGATGAGCAGTCTATGTTGGGATCAGATGCAGAAAAGGTACAGGTGGAGTTGGAACATGTTCCAGCGGTTCTTGATAAGGGAGAGAGTTCTACTTCTGCACCTGATGATGTTGATCATGATGTTTCTGGCACAACTGATGTGTCAAAGAGCTACAAGTTAGCTCGGGATAGAGTGAGGCGTACCAATATACAAGCTCCGGGATGGGCAAAATTCCATTTTTGGTCCTCTAAGTTGGCCTCTGTCCAAAAAACTACCCCGCCATTGGCCACTTTCATTCTTGGTCCTATAAATTGTCCATTTAATCAAAGTTGGTCCTATTTTATCCCACCCCCAGATTAAATATTGACGTGGCGTTTTTTCTTTTCTAATGTGGCGTCACCCGAATTAATATAATATTCTTATTGTGCTAGGTGGAAAATCAAGAATGCCACATCACCAGATTTTCTCCCCTTAAATACCCGATCAAACCAAATCCCCAAATTAAAACCCTAATTTATTCAATTTCTTTGAGTCTCTATGCCGATGTCTTCATCTTCTTCGTTCTCTTCTCCTTCTAATTTGTCTTTCTACTGCCGTCAACCTGCTCAACTACACATATCAAAGACTCCATCAAATCCCGGTAAGAAATTTCATGGATGCAAGAACTGGAGCAATGGGGGTTGCAAGTTCTTTAGATGGGAGGATGAACCAGATAGCTCGAACAATCAACTTATGGCCAATGAATTGATTAAACACATGAACAAGATGCTACTGCTTGAAGCCGAGAACCAAAAAATGAAGGAGAGTGTTGCCCTCCAATTTCAGCATGCGCAGGACATTTATGTGGAAGAATTTTCCAAAATTCGACAAAATATCTGGAAGCTCGAAGTGTTTGTTGCTGCAACATGGGTTCTGTTCGTCATTTTTATTGTTGTTGTCATGTGGTGAAAGATGTATCTTTACTGGTGGTCTGTCATTGCTTTTTATTTCTGTCATGTTGTAGGATCTTTGCTTTGTTTGTTGTAATGGACTGTTGTAAGGGATTGTTGTAACTTTGTTTTGCTTGAAGTGTTTTAATGGATTGCTGCAACTTTGTAAGGGAATGAACAATCTTTGTTTTGTTGTTGGTTTTGTTAATCTTATTGATACTTGACTATCACTATCAGTAAACATCATGTTTAACATTGTGTATTGTGTTTATAACCATTTTAGCATGTTGATGTGAAAACCTGAACTAACTAGTGCATTCATCAATAAAATGGCATGATTGCAGACTCATAAAGACATTACTGAACCATTCGTTATAGCAGAAATATTCCTTAAGCATAAAAAAACAATCTAGTTATCAAAACCCCAAGATCAAACCATTCATCCACTTAGCAAAACCTTAAACAAACAAAAACCATTTCCATAACCATAAGATACAAACCATAAACAAAAAGGATTTCCATAAACAGAACCCATAACATGAATCATTCACATACAAAATCTATTAAAGTTTCAAACCATTCATCCACTTAACCAAAACACCTACAGTCATCCAAAATACAAAACCAACAACACCAACAAACACACCCAAAAGTCAGATCATAACCAGGTACAGTTTACACAACCAACCAACAACCAAATCACTCATTTCTTTACATTCTTTCCCTTCTGTTTAGGATCTACAGATGGAACAAGACTACTAATGGAGGTGTATTTTTGACCACATTCTTTGAATATCTCCTTTAGTCTTGAATCTATTTCAGTTAGGAAGCTCTCTTGGCTTGGTAGAAATGACCACTAACAAATGGTGTTGGTCCTCTGATGACCACTCCTTTAGTGGGCTGTCCCATTTGCAGTTGTTGGTAAGAAGTTGGGGCAGCTATGAACCATTGTGTTGGAGCAGGTAAAGCAGAGGCAGGTGGAGTAGGGGCAGGTTGCACAGGGGCAGGTGGGGCAGGGGCAGATGGAGCAGTGGATTTAATGTTGGGTTTGCCAGTACCGTACGAGCTATACGCAGCGGAATTTAAAATTTTTAAATCATGTATTTAACGATTAAATACATAACTCGTACATACATATGGCGAATTAAGAGATCGTCATCTTTAAAAACATGTAATAATACAAATTTTGATTTGTTGTAAGTAATTTCGAAAATTACCTTAGTTCTTGAACTCCTTCAAAACCGATGATGATTGAGGAAATCAATTCCCGGTTTGATAACGTCAACTCCTTGATGTTACTCGCTTTAGGAATCCAAACGTCTTCCCTCTAATCGTATCCACCTTTTGAAGTCCGGTTCTGACAATAGTTCCTTCGATAGTAGAAACTACTCGGTTTTTCATTAAGTATGGAATATATATATATATATATTTATAAGGAAATTTTCAAGAACTCTTTCTTGATATATCACTCAACTCTTTGAATGTATTTTTCTCTTGGAAGAAATCTTGCTCAAGACTTAGCAAATTTTGTGCAAACATTTTGCACCTATTTATACTAAACATTTTAGCATAAAATAATCAATATTTGATAATTAATTATTTTAAAATAAAATCAGATTTTATTTAAAAATCCATACCAAATATTGACTTTTAATAAATAATGTGGAGTGGTTTATAACCACCATCAACCACCATTATTTTGTCTCTCAATTATTTGAATCTTTAATCATATTAAAGATAAAATAATAAAATAATAATTCTTGAAAACATTGTTCAAGACTTTATTATTTTAATCTTTTCTTCCAATTTCCTTATTTAATAATCATATTATTATTTGGATTTGAAATTTAAAATCTAATTTTAAATTTAAACTATTAATTAGTAATTCTATTAATTACTAAATTAATATCCAAAATTCAATTAATCAATCCAATTTATTAATTTAATATATTCCTTTAATTGACATCTAATCAAATTATATTTGTCAATTAATTCTAACTCTTTAGAATTACTATTTGAATTTTACCTTCATTCAAAAATTGGTGCGACCTTTTAGGTTCACAATTAATACTAGTAGTGGGTTTACAACTCTTTGTAATTTGAGTTATTCATATTAACTCTTATTCTTGAATTAACTCTTTAATTCAAGAACTCACATATCATGGGAACATCTAGCAAGTAGCATGAATCTAGTATTAAGTGAATAGCGAGTAAACCTATTTCGATTACAAGTCCATACATGTAAAATCCTTTCGACATCCAATTTCCCGATTAAATCTTGGGTATGATTTTAGTCGAAACCCAAATTAATTTAATAACTATGATTCTATTTCATGTTTAGTAATTCGCGTACGAATCTCCATTCATCCTGCCTTGGCCAAGGACTTTGAATTACTAACTATGAAACACATAGGAAATTCACTTATCTTCATAAGTGTCGAATCCTTTGTTGGCCACTAACAAACTTCCATACATATTAACATAATACCCAAAATATCCCTTTATACGATTGTGCTAGCAACCAAAAGGATAAATCAAAGTAGAATGTAATATGCACAAAGTTATTCAACAAGACAAATCTAAGGATCAATCATGTACTATTGTAACATGAAAATACTTATTCAACAAGACATATCTTTCATTAAGTATTTTCATACAGTCATGTTCAGTGAACTTGTTCTCTAACAAGCACCCACATATATGTACTTGCGTCCAACGCTAATGTTGATGAATGCAACATTCTTGTCCAAACAAGTATACATACTATGTGCAAGTCTTTTATGGATTATTCGATATCCCTTTTCGAAACATCCATCGACTTCGAACTTTATTTAAGATCACGACTTTCAAGATATGTTCCATGATTACAATCTCTATGCGCAACCATATCTTATAACCATAAGTGATCTAGGGATTTTATCTTAAGTGCAATTTATATGATAAATGCTTACTCTTAAGATAAAGTAATGCCTTTTAATTAATATATAATTCCAATAGATTGTATTTACAAGTAGAATACATCCAATCAAAATTGGAACGCTGGGTATACTACTCTAACAATCTCCCACTTGCCCTAGTTCCAATTATTCATGTATCTTAGGCCCATCTTCTCAAGTTGCCCCTCGAATACTTTCTGTGATAAGGGCTTAGTCAAGGGGTCTGCTATATTTTCTGTTGAGTCGACTCGCTCCATCACGACGTCGCCTCTACCAATGATCTCTCTTATCAAATGGTATCGTCTCATTATGTGCTTGGATTTTTGATGAGATCTTGGCTCCTTTGCTTGCGCAATAGCCCCATTGTTATCACAATAAATCGTTATCGGATCAACAACGGATGGTACTACACCCAACCCTTGGATGAAGTTCCTTATCCAAACAGCTTCTTTTGCAGCATCAGATGCAACAATATATTCAGCCTCTGTAGTAGAGTCATCAATTATTTCTTGTTTGGAACTTTTCCAACTAACTGCTGCTCCATTCAGAGTAAATAAGTACACAGACATGGATTTAAAGTCGTCTTTATCGGACTGAAAACCAGAATCAGTAAAGCCTTCTAGTTTCAATTCTCCATTGTCGTATACCACAAAGATATCCTTAGTCCTTCGTAAGTACTTAAGAATATTCGTAACGGCTTTCCAGTGTTCTTCACCTGGATTAGACTGATATCTGCTCGTTACACTAAGTGCATGAGCTACATCAGGTCTTGTACATAACATCGCATACATAATGCTACCAATAGCAGATGCATAAGGTATATGATTCATCCGTTCTCTTTCTTCAGGTGTCTTTGGAGACATCATCTTAGAAAGAGAAACCCCATGACTCATTGGAATATATCCACGTTTGGATTCTTCCATACTAAACCTTTTTCGTACCTTATTTATGTACGTAGACTGGGATAGTCCGATCATCCTTTTAAATCTATGTCTATAGTTTTTTATCCCTAAGATAAAGGATGCTTCTCCCGAATCTTTCATGGAGAACTGTTTAGATAACCAAGTCCTAGTTGACTGTAACATCCCTACATCATTCCCAATGAGTAGTATGTCATCAACATAAAGAACAGCAAATGCAACTGCACTCCCACTAACCTTCTTATAAACACATGGTTCATCCGGATTCTGATGAAAGTCAAACGTTTTGATTGTTTTATCAAACCGAATGTTCCAACTCCTCGAAGCTTGTTTAAGTCCATAAATGGACCTTTGAAGTTTACAAACCATTTGTTCACTCCCATTGGATATGAAACCCTGCGGTTGTTTCATATAAATGTCTTTCTTAATGTTACCATTAAGAAAGGCAGTTTTCACATCCATTTGCCATATCTCGTAGTCATAATACGCAGCTATGGCTAGCAATATCCAAATAGACTTAAGCATTGCTACTGGTGAAAAAGTTTTCTCATAATCAATTCCTTGTTTCTGAGTATAACCTTTAGCAACCAGTCTTGCTTTAAAAGCGTTAGCTTCTCCATCTCCACCACGTTTTCGCTCGTAAACCCATTTACAACCTATAGGTACAATACCCTGTGGTGGTTCAACCAAAGTCCATACTTTGTTTGAATACATGAAATCTATTTCGGATTGCATAGCTTCTTGCCATTTATCTGAGTCAATGTCTGACATTGCCTCATCATAGCTTATTGCATCATTAACCAAAAGAAGTCCCTCTTCATTGTCTTTTGACAATAGGTATAACCTTTCAGGCGCCCTAGAAATCCTTTCGGATCTCCGAAGAGGTTGTGTTTCAGATGGTCAAGTCTCTACTGGTATGTTATTTTTGGTACTTAGTGGAATTTCTTGTGGTTCTTCATTAAGTTCTACAACTCCACCATTCTTAGAGAGACATTATTCCTCTAAAAATACAGCATTTCTCGAAACAAACACCTTTTGTTCAGAGGGGTCATAGAAATAGTACCCAATAGACTCTTTTGGATACCCCACAAATTTGCATAAGATGGATCTCATATCCAACTTACCTCCCACTAACTGCTTCACATAAGCAGTACAACCCCATA